TATAACTATCTTGGTATGCGTGCTTACAAATTGCCGAAAGTATCGCGCATACCAAATTTTAACTCTTCGCTTTTTAACGGTTTCTATATTTCTGTAAAGAGTGAGTGAGGCAGATTTTTGGTTCAAGTTGAAACCTTGCATGAGTTCGTCTCTTTCTATTCCCTACGAATTAACATTTACCTGCCTCAAAGATACACAATACCATAGGGTGTAAAAGAAATTGGAGGGTGAAAAGGGATTCGATGTTGAAAAGAGGATTTGAGGGTGAAAGGGATTCGATGGCACCGAGGAGCTCGATGGCGCAAGTGGTTAGCGCGTTCGGCTGCGATCGTTGAAGTTATGCAACTTTCGCAGTAGTCGGTCATTGGATGGGTGACAAAAAATTTACTATCTCGAGCTCCTCCGTGCTTCGGAAGGCACGTTAAGCCATTGGTCCCTGCTGCATCTGCAGTCGTTAGCACCCACCAATCCGCATTGGGTCCGCGCGGTGGGTCATAGCCCAATCTCCCTATTCCATCCATTGGGAAGGCCTGTGCCCCAGCAGTGGGGACATTAATAGGCTGATGATGATGATGACGAATAAGGGATTGGTGGGTGAAAGTGGGGATTATCGATGATAATAAGGGATTGGTAGATATAGGTACTGTTTTCTCGCAAATGTGTTGAAAAACGTTGTTAGACATTCGTGCGGATTGGTAATGGTATTTACGAACTCGTGACTAGGTTTATAATAACCAACTTACCGCACTAATAACATAAATAACTAATACCTTCCTAAAATTAGTTCCGATTTCGGCCAGGCGCAACAAGATACGCGACATATTTTAGAGCAAATAAATGTAGCGTGCAGATTGTGACAAGGTAAATGTTGCGTGTATGTGTCGTTTTGCTTTGGTGTTGTGCCTCACTACGAGTAAGTATAGAAGCAGCGTTTTTTACAGATTACTTTAATAGTTACTACGTCATACAAATTAATCCCTACCCTACAAAAAATCGTATACCTTCTTCCTTTCGTGTGCACAGCGAACTAGCTTGCAATTACGTGTTTAATTTTTGATAACCAGCGATCAACTGCTCGGTAAGTACATGACGACGAAGTGACGGAGGTGACCTGTCTTGTCACACTGTATGGATACGGTTAATGCCTGTGTCGTATATAGTTAGACAGGCCTCACACCAGGTATACAATATTATAACGATAATTGTGACGCTAAAATTGAACCGCGACACATTTAACGCCCTCATATATATATACGAGTATCTGCCCGTAAGCACGCACCAATTACACAACCTAGGACACATTTGTAGCGGATGCATCTTGTGGCGAGACGTTGACCGCGCTACAATTCAATTCAATTTATTTGCATTAAATAGGAACTACACGAATTCAAGTACGAGCTTTTCGCAAAAATGAAAGACAAAATTGAGTTTATTGCAGAGGTTGAAAAACCCCCTTTATTATACAACCTTAGACTCACTGAATATATAGTAACAAACGGATTTGATGACATAAATTAAACTTTTCTTCTACGATCCTTGCGAAATTGAGAAATAACCGAAAATTGTAGTATCTTGATCAAACAGGTGAACCCAATAACGTCTTTCTTTTTCTCATTAATTGCCACATCAAGAAATCCGTGTCATCAGATGATGAAGTCGACACGTTCGAGTATACACCACAACTCGGAGTCTTGAACAAGGTGCGGCGTTTTTTCACGCCCGATCAACTGTGCTTGTTGTACAAAACACAAGTGTGGTCCTGCGTGGAATATTGCTCGCACCTCTGGGATGGCTCCGCTAAGTACTTACTCGATGCCTTGGATAGGTTGCAGCGGCGCACTGTCCGTATCATTGGCGATGAAGAGGTTACCAAGAAATTCGAGTCTCTACAATTACGCCGCGATGTGGCATCATTAAGCGCATTTTATCGTCTATAGCACGGCGAGTGTTCTGAGGAGTTATTCTCCCTTATCCCTCCATCACCTTTTCTTCAGAGGACCACGCGCGCTGGCCTTCGTTGCCACCGACTTACTTTGGCCACTATTCCTACACGAACAAAGAAATTTGGTGACTCATTTCTTTGTCGTACTATTCGTAAGTGGAATTCTTTACCCGCGCAAGTGTTCCCTCCTTCCTATAACCTGGGGTCCTTTAAGAGAGGCGTGAAGAAGCATTTTTGCAGGCCGGCAAGGTGAGGATGATTGGTGTAGCAGTTTATAACTGCTGTACCAGCTATCTTCGCGTTTGGACTTTATTACCACTTAACATCAGGTGGGGTAGAGTCATTTGCCTACCTTAATATATATAAAAAAAACGTGCGTGTACGCGACATATTTTAGAGCAAATAAATGTAGCGTGCAGATTGTGACAAGGTAAATGTTGCGTGTATGTGTCGTTTTGCTTTGGTGTTGTGCCTCACTACGAGTAAGTATAGAAGCAGCGTTTTTTACACGCATCTCTTCATTATTACGCACATTCCTTGTGCTTCATAGAATTTCATGGGATCAACTTGCTCGTTGAAACGGAAGTAGAGTACCACGTTTTTTTTCTCATTGCCTTTGAAAATAGACGAGCGAACGGGATACCCAATGTTGTGATCACTGGCGCCAATGGACCTCAGCAATGCCAGTGATACAACCATGCCGTTGCCTTTCACGGAACACTCTACTTAAGCTTCTCTTGAAGAGGATCATGTTATAGTACTGAGACATCACTGTGGGGGAGCTTCCATAATTTTAGTGTCCGTGGAATAACGTTGACGTGGAAATCGGCTGACTATAACAGCCTCCGAACGGACTGTGGACGGACGTGCTCTAAATAGAAGGTTAATTGGTTCTAGTCATGACATTTTTAAGTATTGCCTATACTTAAAAATGTCATTCAGACATTTTGACTTCTTAATCTAGAAACCCTACCTTAGGCTGTGGGGAGCGGTGGGGTGTGCAATAGACTGCGCACTGAGCTTCCAGCGTGGGGAGTCCTGCGCTCGTTTGCGAGATCACTAGATACCCCGGGTGATCCCTGCCGTGGAGTTCCAGCTAGGCCGGGAGGCTGTCAGGTGCGGAGTCGCGGTGAAATCCCTCAACCGGGATCTCGCGGTTAACAGCGTAGAGTGTATTCGCAGGGTGGTTAAACACGCTTTTATTAGGTCGACTTGTAACGAACGAACTATGTAATAAAATCTAAGAATCCGAATTATACGCACTTCTTATTCTTGTATCGTCACGAAACTTGGCAATTATATGTAAATTAGATCACCATACAATATTATGGTACCAGTGAGCTGGTCTGATGATGGGACTGGAAAGTGGCTGATGGAACCTTGGACTGCCTACTAGTAAACATATCAAGTTTGGCCTCATGAGATTCATCTTAACATATTTTGTTCATTTCTCCTGATGACGAGCACCTGACGATGGACTGGAAGGTGGCTGATGGACCCTGGACTGCCTACTAGTAAACATATCGAGTTTGGGCTGAAAGACATTCGTCTTAATATATTCTGTTTATTTAACGTTATAGGGGAGTAATAATAATAAACTAAATAGAGAGGCCTTCATCCAGCATTGGTCTAACATGGGCTGTTGATGATGAATTTGTGCGTGGTGTCAACGATTTGTAGAAATCCGACAAAACACAATAAAGGTGCGTAGGTAATGCGACGCGACACGCGTCATTCAAAATACGCTGTATGTGGTTCGACACTAAGCCCCGTATTACAGAATGACAACTAAGTTTTTATCTTTACTTAAGCACAGTTAGAAAGGGATGTCGCTCTGTAGGTATAGCACATAGCGCCATCGCTTTCTAACAGGGCTCAAGTAAAGATCGACACTTGTTGTCATTCTGTAATACGGGCCTAAGTAATGAAAAAGTAAAAATTCCGTATTGCTTGTTGGAACCGTTCATACTAAGATAGAAAACCAATAGAAGGCCATCGTGCAAAAGTGACTAGATTGCTGACTCGGTGACGAAAAAAAATGACAGGTTGGTGCAACGTTAGGCCCGTATTAAAGAAAGATTCTCAGTGATTGATCTAGTATTGAGCATAGTTAGAAAGGGATGTCGCTATATATAACATATAGCGACATCCCTTTCTAACTGTACTCAAGTTAAGATCAACACTTAGTTGTTATTCTGTAATACGAGCCTTAGTATGCTATTCTAGTTTCTGGGTTCGAATCCCGCATTCATTTATGTGTCTTACTTTTTTGTAGTAAGACCGAAACCTCCATATTAATAAATGGACAATAGGCTTGGATTAGTTACTCTATGTTTTGTCTCTGTTCATTGAATGACAAATGGCATTTGAGTGATGTAAACAGAACACGGCGTAATTTAGGGTGTATTCCGAAATATACATCAGTATATTGGCCAGTGGTAATGACGTCACGAATGCGACGCCATATTGTACTGGTATGCTACCATATTTTTATCCTGAAAACGAATATGACGTATGACCGAGCGTGTGTGAGATGCATTCGAATTTATTTCTTTTTTATATAAAGAATATTGATGGCGTCCGAACAAGACGAATTCGTTTTAATTGATGAGGTGAATAAAAAATCTTCTTTATTCACACAATTTTTAATATTTCGTCGATTTACGTCATAAATCGACGAAATATTAAAATTTGTGTTCACTGGCCAGTATATTTCGGAACAAATCACCAGTATAGCGTCGATTTATGACGTGATTAGCACTGGCCAGTATACTGGTATATATTACGGAATACACCCTTAGTCAAACCTTATTCCTCGTTTATTAATACGGTGGAAGTAGTTTAACTACAAAAAAGATACAAGAAAAGACAAGAAAGACACTCTTTTAAAGCAAATCTCATATGTAATTTTTTCTTGAACTCGTGTTCAACACATGTATAAGGATTTATTTTTATTAAAATCGGAAAATTCAAAAAGATACTTAGGTACTTCATTATGTTTTATCTGTACAACAAAGATTGTATATCAGTCTATCAATAATTACTAGAATACTTGACTCACAAATCTACTTCACATTATAAATGTAATCAACAATCTATTGTGGTGACGCTCAAACAATCATTGTGATGATAAAAAAATATTATCATTTGAAAATTTGTAAATCAGTTTAAAATTACTTCGCAATATGGCGAAACATTATTGTTTGTCTATTGTTTTGTTTATAAGTTTGACGCGAATACGAGACGTGAGCTCTGATATATTGTGCGATGCTGAATTTTGCCCCGTAAGTTAGTATTTCATTTGCCTTTTTACTTATAAGATAATAGTTATATTTTTATTTTTTAAGCATGATACAGATTTAAACATCTGTTACTTAATAATAGATGTCTGCATCAGGGTGCGGGTTCGAGTCCCGTCTGCTGCCAAGTCCACGTCTATTTTTTTCTACTAAAATTTGCTTTTTATTTAAACATCTGGCAGTTAAATGCTTAAAAAATAAACACATAACAATAATTGCTATTTCTTCTATAAAATGTAAATTACTATAATAGGTATTTATTTGACATTGTGGGTTACCTACAATGCGAAGAGATGGCGTTGCCTTGCAGTCAAAAAAGTACTGGAGAGAATTTGAGCCGCCCTGATAGCGGAGGGTGCCGGTTTGAGTACCGTCTGCTGGCTGGTCCGCGTGGATTTTTTTCTTGTTAAATTTTCTATAAGCCAAATTTTCTGAGACCTGGCGAACAAAAAATTTCGCGACACAAAAAAAAATATTTCGCGATTATGTGATGACCCAAAAACGACTGAATGGATATTTTATGCGGCGTTCAACACTTTCTTTTAACCACGTTCTACTGCCTATGGTATGATATTAATCTATAATATAAAAATGAATCTCTGAATGTGTTGCTAAACGCAAATCTCGAGAACAGCTGAAGCTGAAATTCTTTTTTTAAAATATTCCTTGAAGTGCGGGGATGGTTCTTACGCAGAGAAAAATTAAAAAAAAGCCTAAAAATGTTCCTATAACAACACTTTTCTATACTCCCATACAAACGAGTCGTAATAATACTTAAAAGTCAATTTGAACTTTAATGCCATACCATAAATTTGAAATGTTAGTGGAGAGGAAGGCAAAACAATTGAGCGACGTGATGTCAATAGAAGTTTGGAAAAGGCAAATATACCATGTTCATTTTTATTTATAATTACTTATATGATGAAGAGTCATTTAAATCTACACTACAGCTCTACACCGAAGCGAAGCGAGGGCGGGCCACTAGTACCTAATATAAATAACAGTATGTGCATACATATATACTTTCTCTATGATACAGAAATCAAAATGCAGGTGAACAATTATGTTAACTTTACATTATGTAATGAAAGTGACTTCATGAATCATCTTTGAGGTCATTTTTGTACTTGACGACTTTGTGAATAATACTACAGGGAGAAAAAAACCGCACTTACTTAGTTTCTATTCGGTTCTTCTCAGTACAAGGTCTACCGCCGTCAATTTATGAATCAACCGGTGGCGTAGCTTCTAGACATTCATGATATTTATGATAGACTAAACTGAATAAATTATTATGGGTTTGAGTTATGTAACACCTTCTTAAATCGGTGAGAGGCTGCTGTACTTAACTAACACAGGCGCCAGCTTAGTTTGGTCACCAGTCTCTCACAATCTTAGACTTAAGTCATCAACTGTTACCTAAGAAGCACGTATAAGACCCATTGTCCCGAATGCACAGTGCAATGACTTGCATTTAATGGTGCAGAAGAATACAAAGCCGTATAATATTGTGGAGAGAAAATTATGTCATTATTATTATTTTTTCGACATCGCTCTCAATACTTTCAGAAATTCATCGAGGAACAGGGTTGCTCGAACACGTCACCAAACTGCGGCATCAACAATGCCACCCACTCTGGCTTGAGTCTGCCATCGCCAACCCTGTGCAACTGCTGCGACTTCTGCCTGCCTTTGATTGGTAAAACCTATTTTTTATAACATTCTTATTTGGTTCCGGGGGGTTTTAATTACTTAATGCATGGTTCCTGCAATGTCCTAAAAAGTAATTCTGAGGTCCAAACACGATTTTTTGACAGCTCAGTGACGTACCGTCATCGTCAATTTTAACATAAAAAAAAAGTTTTAAAACACATGTTTTTTTATGTTTGTTTTGTGTTTTTTACAATGTTTTTTTGTTTGTTTTTGTTTTGTTTTTTGTTTTAAAAATTAAGCAGCGCCCCCACGCTGCTTAATTTTCGTAGAAAGTTTGACGATGCGATATGTTTTTTTTGTCTAGTTTAAACGTGTTGGGGGGTGAATTTGGGTTGACACAAATTGTGTGTACGTGACTAAAATAAAAATTGGTAAAAAGTGGTGATTAAGATATTTCAACCACTTTCGACCCGAGGCCGCTAGGGATACTGCCAGGGGTGAAAGAGGTTTTAAAACATAGTCAGAAGGAGGAGAGGAAAACAGAGAAAGATGAGGTAAGAAGATAAAATAATGAAAGGAATAAAGGGACGTAGTATGAGGAGGGACGAAAATACTTATTGCTGTTACTTAAAATAAGACTGGTACGGTAAATGTGAGTTTTTCTTTTAGTGTGAACGGAACTGTAAAAAATTGGTGTTTGAGCCTCTGTTCCTATATTCGTAATTTAATGTGATGTGATAGCTGTTATTGTAGAGGTGATGGCATATGACATCTAATCGTGGTGGGTCACGGCTAGTGTTGCCAAGTGTCCCGATTTGCGCAGCACGTCCCGATTTTCAGGGGTCTGGGGAGGCGTCCCGATTTGTACCTGATCGGGACGTTAAATGTCCCGATTAATCAAAAAAATGGATGCGTGTAACTTATGTACGCGCGTGAGAAGTTATACTTCTTTAGCATCATTAAAAATATTTTTTAATTGCATGCAAATAATTAAAGATTACAATAAAATAATAAAAGGACTGGAAAAGGATAGTTAACACAGTCAATTAAGTTCAGTTTTAATTTGAAAAATTAAATAAATATTCAAAATATTCAATTAAAATCACTACTGAATTTAAGTTATTAGTCCATATGTAATTAGCACTTGTAAGTAACTAAAACACGTTGTGTCTATATAGAAACTAGGAACATGTGGATAAATATTATAAATATGAAAACAGTGATCAGAGGCGACGAGCGTGCCAACATTGTTTTTGACAACGCGATCATCTTATGGAGCTCCGTGGATCGTTCAAAGTACCTTTCGAACAGATGTCTAATAATGGTGGATTATTAACCACTAAGTGGTTAATAATCCACCATTATTAGACATTAACATTCATAACGCGCCCGCGGCCAACTTCATGGTGTTACTATTGTGTTACAGTGATGCGCGCGCATCTAAAAATTTCACTCTCATCATTTTTTCATAACGCGCCTAAAGAAGTATAACTTCAAAAATGAAATTTAGGTAATTAATATAATACTATACTTGCACTAGTAGTTCAAAACGCAATTAATTAAACCCAGACTTAAATACCCCTTGATTTCGTTTACTGTCCCGATCTGCAACCCTAAATCCCGATTTTTTTGACCTCTTATACCGATTTAAAACAAATCGGACCTGGCAACGCTAGTCACGGCCCAATATCCCTATTCCATTAATAGGGAAGCCTGTGCTTCAGCACTAAGGGCATTACTAGGCTGATGATGATAATAAGTTCAGTTTGATTTGCCTGTTATTTCCAGGTGAAGGAGAGCACTGTAGTGTTGGCGGTCCAGGGTTAGGAACGACTATAGGCAGATGCGGCCATGGACTCACCTGCGTTAGAAGCGATGACGGGAACATATGCAAGCGAAGTAAGTATATAACCAGGCGCGATCCTTAAAAACTTTTAACAATTTTCAAAATTAAAGAAAAAGCAAATTTCTGTCCCTACGCACGATGCATTCGTCGAATTTTGCGACGATGATTTCTATCCAAATATTAGGACGGCTGCAAATTCTGGCCAATTTTAGGTGCAAATCGTAAGTTTTTATCCGTGCGGTGACGGAGAAAGAATACAACTCACCGCCCCTTCTCTTCCCGTGGGTGTCGTAAGAGGCGACTAAGGGATATCGGAGCTTCCATCCGCTCTGCTGGTGGTAGGGTGCCTAACACCCGCCTGGTTTGTTACCACCGTGCGCATGGTGAAAAACCCGTGAAGTGCTTCTCGCGCGTTTCGGGGTCAGCCAGCGTACAACCAGGGCTCGAGTGGAGGTTGTCGCGACGGATTCGGTCCAGGGCTAGGCATTCGTGGAACCGATGCCGGGAGGACTGCATCGACCCGCCGGCCAGGGAGACCCGTAGAAACGGCTGTCCCGCTGGCCGCCCGTGGCACAGTACAGGGGCCCGAGCGTTCCTAACCAGTTCGCGAGGCTGCCCCATCATGTCACGCATAATCTCGGGGTGGACCGTCGTGCCGGTTGGTGACCGGGGCGTGGGGTCCCGGCAGCCACTCCCGGGGGGATGCGGGGGCCCTTCCGTCCGGCGGGTCGGCGTATATCCTCTGCAGGCAATCATTCGGGGAAACATGCCTCCCTAATTTGCCCGGTGCCCGGTCTTGTCGCGACAACGTCCACTCGTTTCACGTCTCTTTTTCACTTCCATAATGGCAGCTCCTAAAATAAAGTTTGGACGTTCAGCGGTGCACACCCCCACGCCTTCAACGCTGTTTGAGGTCGAGTTCTGCAACATACGCGGACTCCACTCTAACCTCAACGCTGTCCACCACCATCTTGAGACAGCACGGCCAGCATTGTTGTTCCTGACGGAGACACAAATACTTCCGCCTGCTGACACAGGCTACCTTAATTATCCCGGCTACGTGCTTGAAGAGTCCTTCAAAGCGAAAGCCGGTGTATGCCTGTATGTTCGGGCGGATGTTTGTTGTCGCCGTCTCCGCTGCTTGGAAGATCCCTCCTTCTCCATGCTGGGGGTACACGTCGACTCTGGCCCCCTGGCCAGAGTTTACGTGTGTCTCTACAGATCCCACACCGGCGATGTTGAGACAACTCGACTTTTTGAACACCTTAGTCGGGCAGCAGATGACGCGCAGGAACAATTTCCCAATGCAGAATTGGTGTTTTTAGGGGACTTTAATGCTCACCACAATTTGTGGTTAAGTTCCTCCAAAACTGACCATGCAGGGATCTCTGCTCACGCATTCGCTCTCACGCATGACTTGAAGCAACTGGTTGATCAGCCCACCAGGATCCCAGATATTCCAAGTCAAGCGCCTTCTTTACTGGACCTTCTGCTCACGACCCATCCACAGGGCTATCAGGTTGTGGTAAGAGCCCCCCTGGGCTCGTCAGACCACTGCCTGATATCTGCCAAAGCACCACAGGCCAAGCCTCCGCGTCCAGCAGTGGTCAAGCGCCGTATCTGGCATTATGGGTCGGCAGATTGGGACGGTATGCGTGACTACTTTGCGTCCGTCCCCTGGAAGCAGCGCTGCTTCAGTGACAGGGACCTATCGGCCAGTGCCGTTGCCATTACTGAGGAGATTATAATGGGTATGGAATACTATATTCCTCATTCTGATCTCATCAGTAAGGGCACGCGTAACCTCTGGTTCAATCACGACTGTGCTGAAGCTGCTTCGCGTAAGCAAGCGGCATATCGTGCTTGGATCAGAGGGCGCGCTCTCAAGGATCCCGAGGTCGATTTACTCAAAGCAGCCTACAATTTTGCTTCCAAGGCCTGTAAGAAGGCTTACATTAGAGCGGATGCCCAGCGCGTTGCACGTGTTGGCCAGGAACTTATGACGCATCCTACGGGCTCCCGTAGCTACTGGCGTCTGGCCAAGGCCGTGCAAAAAAACTTCTGCGAGCCCTCGCTGCCACCTCTGAGATGCCCAGACGGAACACTAGCCCATAAGCCGCAGGAGAAAGCCGATTTACTGGCAAAACTCTTTGCGGCTAACTCCCGAATCGATGATTGCAATGCACTGCCACCATCATTACCTCACTGTGGCACAACGATGCCTGATATTAAAATCAGGCAGCGCGAGGTTCGTGCCGAATTGCAATCACTCGACGTCCGGAAAGCTAGTGGACCTGATGGCATCCCAGCATTAGTACTCAAAAAATGTGCAGCGGAGTTGTCTCCCGTGCTCACGCGCTTGTACCAATGCTCGTATTCTTTGGGGCGTGTGCCGGAGACTTGGAGAGATGCTAACGTGCAACCGGTGCCCAAAAAAGGGGATCGCTCAGACCCGGCAAACTACCGGCCAATAGCAGTCACCTCAGTTTTATGTAAAGTTTTAGAAAAGGTCCTTAATAACCATCTGACCCGCTACCTAGAGGATCACTCCTTGATTAATGATCGTCAATATGGTTTTAGACCGAAACGATCGACGGGTGATCTTCTAGCGTACTTAACTCATATCTGGGGTGAGGCTATCGACAAGCGTGGCGAGTCGTTGGCTATCAGCCTTGACATTGCCAAGGCGTTTGACAGGGTCTGGCACAAAAGCCTTCTCTCCAAGCTTCCGGCATACGGTCTGCCAGCCCAGTTCTGTTCTTGGGTAGCTGACTTCCTGCATGAGCGTAGAATTCGTGTCCTTACGGATGGTAGCAGTTCGCGGTTCATGTCAGTGAATGCCAGCGTTCCCCAGGGCTCCGTCCTATCCCCCACTCTCTTTCTGCTGCATATCAATGACTTAATTCCTCTTGGGAATATTCATTGCTATGCAGACGATAGTACAGTGCATGCGGGGTATCTCGGACAAGCAGCGGCTGGGCTGGCGGTAACCAAGGAGAAACGCGAGAATCTTGTCATTGAACTCAATCAGGCTTTGGACCACATTTCCGAATGGGGTACCAGGAACTTGGTTGAGTTCAATGCCAAAAAAACTCAGGCTTGCGCTTTCACGGCAAAAACATCGTCATTCCTTCCCCTTCCATCTCTTCAGGGCACAACACTACCGCTGCAGAGCAACATTTCCATGCTCGGTATGGAAGTTCGCTCAGACCTGAATCCAAAGAACTACATCGAAACCGTGATCAAAACAGCTTCACGCAAACTCGGAGTCCTGAACAAGGTGCGGCGTTTTTTCACGCCCGATCAACTGTGCTTGTTGTACAAAACGCAAGTGCGGTCCTGCGTGGAATATTGCTCGCACCTCTGGGATGGCTCCGCCAAGTACTTGCTCGATGCTTTGGATAGGTTACAGCGACGCGCGATCCGCATCATAGGCGATGAGGAGGTGACTAAACACCTTGAGCCTCTTCAATTACGCCGTGACGTGGCGTCACTAAGCGCGTTCTATCGTCTGTACCACGGCGAGTGTTCTGAGGAGTTATTCTCTCTTATCCCACCTTCTCCTTTCCTTCAGAGGACCACGCGCGCTGGCCTACGTTGTCATCGTCTAACTGTGACCACAATTCCAACGCGTACAAAGAAATTTGGTGACTCATTTCTTTGTCGCACTATCCGTAAATGGAATGCTCTGCCCGCTCACGTGTTCCCTCCCTCTTACAACCTGGGATCCTTTAAAAGAGGCGTGAAGAAGCAACATGCAGGCCGGCAGGGTGAAGATGGCTGGTGTGGCAGGTAAAACTGCTGTATCAGCTATCGTCACGTCTGGACTTCACCTTCACTTAACATCAGGTGGGGTGGAGTCATTTGTCGGACCTATGTATAAAAAAAAAAAAAAAAAAAAGTTTGGCGACCCCCTCCAAAGCCTGTGTGGTTGCGAAATATCTGGCATCTGGCGCGCCCCGGGCCAATTTAGATTTGCACTTTCCCCCTCCCCCCGAATTAGTGCCGAATGCCTTTACATTGCTTCTGCAGCCCCTCGCAGCCTGCTGTCCCAGGACATGGCTTTTTTGGCCGTTTCTTTTTTTAATGTCTGGGAATTGTCCTTCGCACCCCTAATTCATCGGGGGAGCAAGTAAAAGGTATCTGTGGACTCCTTCCTGTAAACTTCACCCAAGATTCAACGCTCGGTGAAGCGGAACAGGGCCCTACCTAGTCAAAAACCTGACTCTACTCCTGCACCAGACACCCGGCATGCATTCTTAAGACCGAGGTTCCCCCAATGCATACCGGGAGTGCGGGTGTAACCGTCTCTGATAGGACACGCACCCGTAAGGTTGCGCCAGTCGGGTCCGCGGATGGATCCACTCTGATGCCCCGGAGTATAAGGGGCATCGACATCCAGAGAGCTTGTGCAATACGAGCCCCTACAGAACAGACCCAAAGCCCTCGCAGGAGTGGAAGGGAGAGCCTAGTTCTCTCCATCCCTTTCCTTTTTTGCTTTAATCTAAGTATGTGTAGTTATAATTTAACAATGCAAATTGATTTTATAACTGTTGCAAGAATAGATTTTAGTTGTTGTATCTGTTTCATGTACATTACGGTTAAAATTTCAGTGGACACTCCTTGCCACAGAGCACAGGACGATTACGACCTTCGTCACTCCAAGGGGGAGACTGGAGCTCTCGAGGAGCGGCCATCTTGCGACGGCAAAGGAATGTACGCGAGTTTCTCTTGTGTGCCCACGCAGACGTAAGGCATTTTTTTTATCAAAAAAGTAATGTGTCAGCCAAACTTTATAGCATGTATTTTTTTTATTTGTGCTGATTAAAAAAAAGAATCTGCGGAATGTGTCCTAAAGCATTGAAGGTGCCTTACACGTCCAATAGTTAAAGCTCGGTTAAAGACTACGTACGTAACTTTTGATTCAAGACGAACTCCGTGGCGGAGTGGTTTGTACCCCGGGTTTCATGGTGACGCCGACTCAAGAGGTTCCGGGTTCAAATCCCGGTGGGGGCAGATGTTTGTGTGATGAATACGAGCTTTTGTACTTCAGTCATGGATGTTTAATAATTATGTATTTCTATATAAATATACTTATATATGTACAGTATATGTATTCTATCCGTTACACTAGTATCCCATAACACAAGCCTTATAGTGCTTACTTTGGGGCTAGGTAAATTGGTGTGAGTGTTGGAAATATTTATAATTGAATGTGAGGACCCACAAATATATTACCTTAGCCAGAAAAAAGATATTACTATATCATCTTTTTTCTGATTTTCGTTTCAGGTGTTTCTGTCAGTCGGAGGAGGGTAAAAGGATTTTCGGGGAAGTATTGTATTCAGGACAATCTGTTAAAAATGTCATGCACTGTGGTAAGTTTTACCAAGAAATCTAGAATGTTCCTATAATACTACAATGATAATATACCAGGATCAGACTTAGATTAAAACAAAAAGGGAAGATACGGCACGCATTAAATAAAATATGATCCGACTCATCTACTTAAGCAACTCTCTCTCACTCACGCACTCTTCTGTAAATAAACATTCAATCGATTGAGGGAGACAGAACCGTACGCTTCAATGCAGCGCGAGCGATTCAGCGAGTCCACATCGCTTTGCAGCTGACAGCGTTTTCTTTTCTCTCTCTAAAGTCGGCTGAGCTGTATTGTTGTCCTTTTCTTGATAAAAAATAGCGAGTGCCGTATCTTCCCTTTTCGTTTTAATCTAAGGGATCAGTTGTTTTATAGTCCAAACCTAAGTTTCCCTAAGGTTGAGAGTAAATGGAGTCTAGTTTTGTTTTCTAATAGTTTATAATAACTCGGAAAGAGTAACAGGCAATATAAAAGGCTTATTTACACCTGCCTCTATAAATAAAAGGCTTAATACTTCTTAAAAAAATGTTCTGTTAATAATTAGTCTTGGTCACTCTGTAGATTTCAGGTTTATTTTTTTCTTTCAGGTTGCTCCAGATTTCACGAGAAAATCACGAAATCCCTGAGAGACAGTGCGAGGTACCCAATCATAGGACCACGGTGTACTGCGGACGGGAATTACAATCCTATACAATGTATCGATAAGGTCTGTAATTGCGTGGACCGCGTCACCGGAGAGATAATAGAAGGTACCGAAGGAAGACGGAGAAGGATTGATCTGGACGAACAACCTTTGACGGATTTGGAATGTTGTAAGTGTTCATGAGATGAGTGGAGGAGCTCGTTGGCGCAAGTGGCTAGCGCGTTCGGTTGTGATCGTTGAAGTTAACCAACTTTTGCGGTGGTAGGTCATTGGATTGGTGACCAAAAATTTACTACCACGAGTTCCTTCGTGCTTCGAAAGGCAAGTTAAGCCGTTGGTCCCGGCTGTATCTGCAGTCATTAGCACCCATCAATCCATGGTAACTAATTTTTTGAAGACCTCCGTGGCCGAGTGGTTTGTACGCCGGGTTTCATGGTGTCGCCGACTCGAGAGGTTCAAATCCCGGTGGAGGCAGATGTTTGTGTGATGAATACGTGCATTTGTACTCCAATTATGGATGTTTAATATGATGTTCTATATAAATATACTTATATGTGTTCAGTACATGTATTCTATCCGTTACCCTAGTATCCGATAACACAAGCCTACAGTGCTTATTTTGGGGCTAGGCTAATTGGTGCGAGTTATTAAAGAAAAAATGGACTTTACGGGGTTAGGGGAGGGGATTTTATATCTACTGACTCTACCGTGGGCGGTCTACCAAGGACATTTCATTCATCTCTAGCTTTAAGAAAAAAAAACGTGGTTATAGGGTCCGAGTATGGGCAAAAATTGACAATGAATAGTTTTAAGAATCCTGCTCACATTACAGTGAGTATTTTCACAACAGACACAAAAGGCAGGTGGAGAGCATGATGCAAAGATTGCGTGCTGTCAAAGCAAATATCAAGTCAAAAGTAAAAAAACTTATTTCTATCTTTGTGAACAATTTTTACAATGTTTTGATATAAACTTAATATTCACGGGACGTATTCAAAAAACGATGCGTTGTAGTGTACTGACGCGAATTGGTATTCGCTATCGACTTGATATTCGCTTTGGTGGCACGCATGATGTATACCGTGAACTCCATCTGCCTTTAGTTCTGTAATTTGAGCTTTGAGCATCAACTATTTGTGAATATAGTAAAGATTTTATCACTATGCCAAAAACTGCCTCTGATCGTGTCCAGCAGAATATCATCCTTCTGTTTTAATCTATCTCATGACGACCTCCGTGACCGAGTGGTATGTACGTCGGGTTTCAAGGTGCCGCCTTCTCAGATTTCCCAGATTAAAATCTCAGTGGGGTAAATGTGTGTGTGATTATGGCACATCACTACATTACATCCTCACTGATGAGTACGAGCGGCTGTATCTAAGTCATAGAATTATTGTATTTCTAAATAAGCATATTTATATGTATTCTATCCGTTACCAAATGTATCCCATAACAAATGCCTTACAGTGTTTACATTGGTGTAAGTGTTAAAAATATTTATTTAACTTTCAGACGACCCCCAATATGACTTGTTCCCGCAACAAAGCGTGGGCACGCCTCCTTTCAATTACACCACGCCTTGTCTAAACAATATCCAGGCTAGAGTGGAGCTGGTGAGAGAAAGCGAAGAGTTGGGATACAACGTGAACCACGCGAGCGACTGGCCTGTGTGCTTACCCGACGGCACTTTCGGGAGAGTAACCTTGACTAGAAACAGATCGTAAGTATTATGCTATTCAATCTTTACTGATACTAATCGTAACTCGTAACGCATTCGCCTGTTTACCCCCCAAGTCAAGAGTGCCTGAAGAAGTTTCGCTTCAAAAAATAAATAGTGAGCACGGACTCCACATCTGAAATGAAAGAAGAAAAAGAAAAGAAGTCGCATTTCAAACATAATATACATCCTGGCAAACTTCTTGAGCAACGACCATAGACGAAGGAAGCCTGCGCAGTAGCAATTTAAAATCAAAAACGTCTAACCGTCTCATAGATGAAAAGGTGACGAAAAAATATTTTTCTTTACCCCAGCATGTAACACATCATTCTCTAGTGCTTATTAAGTATGACATATTTTTTTTTATTTTTAATAACAAAGATATGAGGGGGCGGCAAAGATATCATTTTAAGACCATTTTCGTGATGGGGTTTATCTCCAAAATCTAAACAATTTAGGATGTGAAATTTTGGTATATGATGATCCATATGCTGTATTTAAACAAAACATACTGAAAACGTCGATCTTATAATGTACTTCGTAAGTTGTGACGAAAACAAACAAATTATTCTTTCATCGTACGCGCGTCCGCCTCGCACTTGCCCGGTTTTTAGTTGTCAGCATTGCACCCGTGCGAAGCCGGGACAAGAAAAAAATATAGCAATCTTCCCATTTCACAGGAGAATCTGCGTAGACGAACGCGGCCGTCAGATTGAGGACTACGAAGCTTTTGGAAACACCGATGAATACGACTCTATGGACTGCAGTAAGTTTTTTTTTTCAAGTTTTTTCTCCAATAACCTAACATTAGGGTACGGCCACAGTGCACGCAGGTTCAGAATCAATCAAGTGTAGTTTAAGCAGGGTGGCCATAGTGGCAGCAGGCAACTTGCTTAAACTACACTGTTTATTTCTCGCGCTGGTTTTCTGAGTCTGAATCTGATTCTGAACCTGCGTGCACTGTGGAGCGCACGCATCACTCATATTTAAATAGTCGAGCGATGAGCGTGACGCATTTCCATTTCATCTTTTCCATAGAATTTTTCAATTTACACCCCGTCCGAAAAGAACTCTCACTTTAAACATAATATAAATCCTGGCAAACTTCTTGAGCAACGACCATAGACAAATGGATGAAAATGGAAGCCTGCGCAGTAGCAATTTGAAAGACAACAACGTCTACTGCGTATGTTTATTTGTCTGTGTGGGTAGTTGCTGAAGAAGTATGCCGCTACCATGAAGTTATATATCAAACTTCATGGTCGCTATAAAAAGGTACTCACAAATATTGTTTTAGAATGCGCTCAGACCTCTTTGCTGATGACTTCGTCGACTGAACGTCCGGTATGCTGTAAGAATGGCAACTTCAGAAGGATTCAATGCAGGCGTGGAGTATGCAGGTTTGTTTCGCTCCTATGCCAAAATCATACAATCTTATTAATGCCACATGACGATGTTTATGAACAGACTTTGCGCCACCGTGATATTACCTTTTATGGTGTTTTTTGCGCGAACTAATCGTATGAGCGTTTAAATTAATCCATAAATTATGAAGACACACGCGATATGTCGGATGAGTAGACCATTTGTCATCGTCAACGTCGACTGAATGGAAGTCGGGCAATGGACAAGAAATCTGCAAAATTTTGTCACTAGGAACGCTGTAATCGCTTAACCCAGAGCTTCTATCAAATAAATACCTATAAGCAATTGACTTCCTTACCTATCATACTGCTTAAGCTGGCGACGCCCTTGATCAAGTCTTTAAAAAAACCAATGTTTTACTTCCCAATTTAGACAGAGGTAACCTAACTCTATGAGATGTCTGACTGGTGCAAAAATAAGATAGCTTTCACCAATGAGCTGGCTAAAAGTTACTGAGATCCATGAACTATTAAAATAATCATGGAAAATGCATCTATGTACCGAGAATGAGCATTCGAGTAGCATAATAAAAGAAACAGTTTCTTTCTGCAACATCAGCTTTTCTGCCTTGCACAGATACCTCTCCTTTTCAACTCTGTTTTCAGCTGTATTAATTACAGTTCATGTTGCATACAAATTAGAAGCGTGTATGACGTATCTATAACTATAAGTTATTGTTCGTTACAAGCGCGAAACACGTCAAACAAAGTGCCAAACATATATCATAATTACCCAACACAAACAAGCCTCCTCAAACTTGGTAGCATGTAATGGTGCCTCCACACGCTTAGTGTTTGTTACAAACACCATATACACCAAACAATCATCTCGAGTAGGTCACACCTACGTACCTGCTTAGATACTACGGGTCTGCCCACTGGTTCGAGAAGGATTCTGTGTTGTCCGCCCCGCCGCCGCAACCTCCCCGCTGCCCGCAATATTCCGAGGCGGAGGTCTTAGCCGCAACTTTTCGCAATATCATGTCAGCGTTGTCGGTTACGAGGCGTTATTTATGCCGTGTACTCGGTGGCTGGATACCCGGCAAAATCATTACCTGTTTCATGTCTAGTCCAAACGAAAAATTGTTATTTTTGAAGTGATAACTTTTTTTTTTTTATAGATAGATCCGACAAATGACTCCGCCCCACCTGATGTTAAGTGAAGGTGAAGTCCAGACGCGAAGATAGCTGATACAGCAGTTCTAACTGCCACACCAGCCATCCTCACCCTGCCGGCCTGCAAGTTGCTTCTTCACGCCTCTTTTAAAGGATCCCAGGTTTTAAGAGGGAGGGAACACGTGAGCGGGCAGAGCATTCCATTTACGGATAGTACGACAAAGAAATGAGTCACCAAATTTCTTTGTACGCGTTGGAATTGTAGCCACAGTTAGACGGTGACAACGTAAGCCAGCGCGCGTGGTCCTCTGAAGGAAAGGGGAAGGTGGAATAAGAGAGAATAACTCCTCAGAACACTCGCCGTGGTACAGACGATAGAACGCGCTTAGTGACGCCACGTCACGGCGTAATTGAAGAGGCTCGAGGTGTTTAGTCACCTCCTCATCGTCTATGATGCGGATTGCGCGCCGCTGTAACCTATCCAAAGCATCGAGCAAGTACTTAGCGGAGCCATCCCAGAGGTGCGAGCAATATTCCACGCAAGACCGAACCTGCGTCTTATACAACAAGCACGTCTATACGATAAGTCTATACTTATCTATGCTATGACGTCAAAAAATTTGTAAACAAACACTCGCAAGCACGTAGGAAATAAACAGCTAAGTTAATATTATAAAACCATGATTTCTAATAGATCACATAAAAAATATAGTAGTTATCATGATACACTTGGTAAAAGACTCTAGAAAAGTTGTGGTTTAAATTGCCAAGAGAAAAAACATACTTACACATGAACATATGCTTAAAACTTGCTAAATCCTGTAACTTTATCGACTGAAAGTCTTTTCTTTTTGCAAAGATCAATTCGATGTGAGTAGGTACTCATAGATAGTAGTAAAAGTTTAAAAATACAATTTTTAAGGTTATGAATGTACCTACTAAGCCAAAGAGTTTTGTCGTTTCTGCTTTCACAAATCCTGCGTCCAGCATTAATTGAGTCAACAAAACCAATAACGGGAACCTTTTCTACAAGATACAAGAGTGTTTAGATACATTCTTATAAGAAATAAACATTTGTATAGTTTTTAAGTAAAGTAACGGAAAATATTCTTCTTTATTCTAGTGAATTAAGTTATTTTACAAATTTGAAAAAAATTGAGACAATACGTAGATTCTGGGACTGAAGTTAGTAGGTTTCCAGAAAAGGCCTAAAATACGTAGATCTACGTAAAAAGACGTAGAGTTGGCAACACTGATCACATCTCTGGGTATGGAGTAAGTTCACACAGAGCGGTATCGGCGCGTTGCGGTGTGGAGGCATGCTACAGCGATTTATTCATTTGTAAATTTTTACCACCCAACAATACGAGTAAAGTACGTGGCCCGTAAATATTTAGCCGGTGGGTTTTTTATCGTCCTTGTTAGCAATCGCTAACAGCGTCCTTGTTAGCAATCACAGTTAACCAGAAAAAGCTAAATATACCGGAGACTTGGAAGAAGAAATGAATAAGATATTCGATGTCCTAAACTCGAGCAAAGTTTCATGCCCCAATAAGTATCAAAATGCATTTTCGATGAAACAATATCAGGTTGGGGTGTTAGAAGAAGCTGCAGCTATGTTTGTGGGAATATTGTGGCCATAAATAAAGACAAGAAAAGATAAAACTTACAGAATTCCAACGTTTAAAAATATTGAAATTACAATGACGAGGTCGAAGCACCTTACGACCCCAAAGTCTTTGGTCTAAGCCCCAAAGTCCATATCGGTAAGCCGAACAATATGCCCGCCCATTGCCATTTCAGCATAGTGATCTGTTTAGCTATGTCGGTTACTCGAGTTCTTTTATTGATTTCCTCATTTCTGATTCGATCACGTATAAGTAAGAAATAAGCATAGCTCTCTCCATCGCTCGCTGTGCGACTCCGAGCCTTCTCATGAGGCCCATTGTCAACGACCACATTATATGAAATACATAATTAATTATTATTTATTCTATTTGCCAGATGTGTCGATTCTGATGGTCGGCAGATGGGCAGGGAAGCAGCTGATGTCACTCGGTTGCCTTGCTACACCGCAAACTGGAGAACTTGTTGATGTTGCAACGTAGAAGAGTCCTATTCAAAAAATTATCAAGAATAATGTTGTTGCAATAATAATACTATATAATATTGTTTAATTTATTATTCGAAGTCCAATAAATAATCTACTTTTATTTTGAAATATAATTAAAGCCTCATACTCATTTTCTCTCTCCTCTCCTCACAAGGAGGTCCGGCATCAGCCAGTCACTCCATCAACAGCACTCTACAAAGCAGCGAACCAACGCCGATGAAGAATAACCCGTTATGGGCAGATTAAATTTTTGGTGTTGATGTTGCCGTTCGAGAACTGGACGTCAACCAAGAGGTTGCGCCAACTTTCGCGCGATTATCTGAACTAGTTGACGAAGTGTACTCATCCTGAGCAGGTGACGACACCAATCTAAATAAGCAAATCACCCGTAACATGTTGATTTACTACAGTGAGTCAATGCTGTGGGCGCGCTTATTAGACATCAAGGCCAAGCGTGGAACATAAACTTGAGCTTTGAAGAGCCAGAGTTCTGTAAAGCAGTTCATAAAAGGAGATGGTGATGTAAAAGATCCCTCAGGTAAAACTGTGAGATTAACAGAGCACACGCTGCCATGCACAGTGGTGCAAGGTTTCGGAGGTTACTACTCAAACGAATTTTTCATTGCGGAAAGTTGAACTTCCCAGCAAATAGTCACTGACTTTTGCACAAAGTTGATATTGAGTCGGGTTCTTCATACCAATTCGTTAAACGCGGTTCCGATAGGCCCTGAGTACCGGCAGTGCTTGAGATGCTCTTACAGTATATCTCCACAGATCCCAAGTGACGGAATCTCGTTTATAGTATTTGAGTGGTAACCTCCGAAATCTTGCACCACTGTGCATGGCAGCGTGTGATCTGTTAATTACTAAAAGGCCTTGCCCCAGGGCCTGCTGCCCCAGGACACTCAAGCAAAGGTCTCAAAGCTCTACGGCAATCTTTTGGCTCTTTAAAAATAACTTTTCCGACTCCAATTTCCTCTCTTCTATTTATTTATTTATTTAATAATTTAGTACACACACAATAAAACAGATAAGAACAGGAACAAGAAATTTGTACAAGGGCCGTGAAAGGAAACATAAAAAAAAGGGTCGTCAGTGTGTGCCTCCTGAATATAAATAACAAAATACAATACTAATATATCTTGAGATTTAGGTGGAAAATAATACGACTGTTTGATTTCGTGACTATATTTCGACTACTGGACGTAAAGACAATACACACACATGTTCGAGGCGTACCCTCGTATTTTATATAAATAATAACATAGTTACCCACTATACTACAGTCCCTCCCTCTAAAATGTTACAATACTGAGATAATCGATTAAGTATACAAAGAAAAACATGGGTACACAATATATCATTAACATAATATTAAAATAAAAATTAAACATTATAATAAAGATCTAAACAAAAAGAAAAATAGTACAAACATTCAAATTTTATATCTAGGTAGCTTATCTAATCTACACTTCCTAATCGGTCGGGAGTGGGCCGGGGGCGGGGTGGCATAGCATGGTGATGCACCAGGTGCGAGAGCGGGAGGTCCACTAGCTGACGGAGTTTGTTTTGATTCGGTATTTACAACGGTATCTTCGATATTAAGATCTGGTTTTGCTGCAACTACAGAGCTCGGATCTTGAGGAAGAGATGGTGGTTCCACCGCTGGTACCGGTAACTCAACCTCGGGGGTTGAACTCTCCACCGAGGGAGGAGCAACTAACGAACTACGCACGGATCTCCGTCTTAACTGGTCGACATGCCTATGTGCATCCCTACCTACTGCATCTGTTACCCTATAATCTGTCGTACCAAGTCGGTCTACCACTCTGCCTGGTAACCATTTGTTGGTACCCTGATATTGTCGCACCCACACTTCTTCGCCCGGCTTAAACAAACGGTCTCCACCTTTATTTACATGTGTATGAGAAGTAGGACTCTGTTTCATTTTATTATCCCTATTCGGCCGTAATAGATCTAGTTTAGTACGTAAACTCCTACCTAACATCAGTGCCGCTGGACTTTCTTTTGTTGTACAATGTTCCGTGTTCCTATAATGTAACAAAAATTTATTTAAAAATGATTGTACATCCTCCTTTTGTCTAATTGCTTTACGAATCGCCTTTTTAACCGTTCGCACTGCATTTTCGGCCGCTCCGTTCGAAGCTGGGTGATACGGCGCCGAAAATAAATGTTCGATGCCATTGCTATTAACAAATTTAGAAAAATCACTGCTCGAAAAAGGAGGACCATTATCGGTCACTAATTGTCTTGGGAGACCCCATCTCGAAAAGGCTTCCTCTAGTTTGCTAATAGAATATTTAGCTGCCGTACTCGGAACAGGATAAACTTCTATCCATTTTGTTCTAGCATCAACTAATATTAAATACAATTTATCCTGAAATGGCCCTAAAAAGTCCAAATGGATCCGGGACCACGGCTTGGCCGGCCACGGCCACTGCGCTACCGAGTGACGTCGCGGCGCATCCGCCTCCGCCGCGCACACTTCGCAGCTGGAGCACATCGATTCCACGGCTTCGTCGAGGCCGGGCCACCACACGTAGCTCCGGGCCATAGATTTAGTTTTACTCATGCCCATGTGCGCCGCATGTAGCTCCTTCAAAACGCGATCCCTACACCGTTCAGGTATAATCACTCGATAACCCCACATAACGCAACCCAGTTCCTCATACAATTCTTTTTTCCTATTAAAGTACGGTTGTAACTCTTTAATTTCATTACTTTCAGGCCAGCCTTCCCGAAGATACAACAATATTCTGCTTAAAAATGGATCGTGTGAAGTTTGTTGTTTAATAACATTATAATCTAATAACAATTCATTCTGTGCAAAATGTAAATACGTTTGTTCTGGCGGCTCGAGTGACAAGTCCTTACTCCTATCCCCACTAACGTCGACCGGTAACCGCGATAACCCGTCCGCTGCGTTTTGTTTCGTGTTTACGTATTCTATATCATAAGTATAGGCAGACATTATAATCGCCCATCGCTGCATACGACTGGCGGCCATCGTAGGTATCCCATGTTTAGATCCGAAAATGCTAACTAAGGGCTTATGATCCGTCTTAAGCGTAAACCGCCTGCCATACAAATATTGATGTAACTTTTGTAAGCAAAACACAATCGCGAGCGCCTCCCTATCAATTTGTGAATAATGTTTCTCTGCCGCTGTGAGCGCGCGCGACACGTAAACGACCGGCCGCTCCGCGACCCCCTCTCCCGCCGCCCGCGCCGCCCGCGCCGCCACCGGCTGAGTGAGCACCCCGCCTATGCCTTTAGCACTAGCGTCGCAGGTCAGCGTCAAGGGTTTTTGAGGATCATAATGCACTAGCACCTCCGCACTTGTTAAAATATTTTTTATGTTTATGAACGCTTCCTCACATTTCCGTGTCCAGTTCCACGTTGCGCCTTTTTTTAATAATTCATAAAGAGGATACAGTATCGCGCTTATATTTCTAACAAACTTTGCATAAAAATTTACTAAACCTAAAAACGACCTTAATTGAGAAACATCCTTCGGCCTTGTAATTTTTGTAATAGCGTCTATTTTGTCACTATCCACCGTAACTCCACGGCTGGATATGATATAACCTAAGTATTTAACTTGCTCCACCAAAAATGAGCACTTACTTTTCTTTAGTTTTATGCCGTGATTTTGCAATCTTTTAAAAACTTGTTCCAAAGTAGTTAAATGTTCCAATATACCCCCTTTTGTTCCTATTATAATATCATCTAAAAATATTTCTACCCCTGATATATCACCGAGTAGCTTACACATCATTCTTTGAAAAATGCCCGGACTAGAAGATAGGCCGTAAACCAACCTATTGTATTTAAACAAACCTCGGTGTGTATTAATTACTGTAAAATCTTTACTGTTATCTAATTCAATCTGATTATACGCCTGAGAAAGGTCAATTTTCGAAAATAGCTGGGCACCGTTGAGTCTCACTAACAAATCGTCGATTTTAGGTAAGGGATATCTGTCGACCAGTAAGACCGGATTAACGGTTATTTTGTAATCCGCGCAAATACGTAACCCGCCATCCGCTTTACGTACCGGCACCAACGGCGTCGCCCAGTCCGAGCTATCGACGGGCTCAATAATACCATCCCGCAGCATCGCATCTAGTTCCTCGTCCACCTGCCCTTTGAGTGCGTAGGGCAGCGGCCGCGCGCGGCAAAACACCGGCGTCGCCCCTTCCCGCACTCGCAACTGAGCCTTGCCGCCCGTGAACCGACCCAGCCCGCCGCTAAACAACTGCTCATATCTGCCGATCAACACGTTTAAATTATCAGTATACGCACATTTATTTCCTAACACCATATTGTTAAAATTATATATTGGAATTTTAATTTTTAACTCTGATAGCCACTGCCTCCCTAATAAGGCAGTGGTTCCACCATCGATTACAAACAATTCCAAACATTTCGACATTCTTTTGTATGTTACCTTTGGAAAAATAACACCTAACGGTCTAACAGTACTACCGTTATAAAATTTAAAAATCACTTTACTCTTTACAATATGCATGTTTTTAAAATACTTTTCATACATTTGTTTGCTTATACAAGAAACAGCAGAGCCTGTATCTACCTCCATCTTTAATGAAATTCCATTAACATCGATTAATAAACTTACTGGTTTATAACTGTTTAAACTCAGCTGATGAAACTCCTCTTCCACTTCCTCGGAAAACGGTTCCTCATCCGAACCTTCGATGACGCTGGATGACTGCACATTATTGAGCCGGCGTTGGCCTCCACCGCGGTTACCCTCAGCTCGAGTTATCGGGCACACCCGCCGTAAATGACCTCTCCTCTTGCACTTGCTGCACACGAATGTCTTGTATCGACATCTTTCCGTATCGTGTCCTGCAATCCCACAGGCTTCGCAGTCTCCGGACTTTAACGCCGACCGCTGTAGCCCGCGTTCCTTCCGCGTTCTTATTTTGTGGACTTCCTCCAGCGTGCCACTCTTGCCTGCCGCAGCTGACATGTCCACAACCGCAGCATCCCGTTCCGCTGCTTCAAGAGCGCAAGCCAATTTCATGGCACCGTTAAATTTCAAATCGTCTTCCGCAAATAGGCGTTGCCGGATGACGTCACTGAGTACCCCACAAA